TTTTCTTTAAGCAGTAGCGAAACGGCCTTACTGTCCACGCAGTGTCGCCATGTTGGGACAAGGTAAGACTATGAGTACCCACACGATGGTTTTCAAGTAGTACTCATTCTGGAAGTATTTCTTTATTACTAGTGGGGTGGGACTAAGTCCCTTGTACTGCGCCCACTTCTGGTCTATTGTACCAGCCTCAGATGATAGGTGAGGGTGGTTGTGGAGCAATTGATGGAATGAAGATTGGCAGGGGAAACCGAAGTACTCGGAGAAAACCTGCCCCAGAGCCACTTTGTCCACCATAAATCCCACTTGGCCAGACCCGAGATCGAACCCGGGGCGCCGCGGTGGGAAGCCAGCGACTAACCGCTTGAGCTATGGTGCGGCCCATTCTGGAAGTAACTGGATCTGCTAACAGCAATCTCTGCCGTCTTTCAGCTACGCGGGAGTTTCCAGCATTTTGCAGAAAGTTCATTATCGTGTTCGCAAGAAACCTCCACTGGTCCCTATCCTGAGCCAGATCGATCTACTCCATACCACCCCATCTCATTTCTTTCAGATACATTTTATTTTTATCCTCCCATCTATGCAATGTATTTGTGTTGGTCACTTTCCTGCAGGTTTCCCAGCAAAACTGTATATGCATTTTTTTCTCTCCCATGCGTGTTACATGTCCTGCCATCTCATCGTCCTTGACTTTATCGTTTTAATTAAGCTACGAAGGTCCTCATTACGCAGTTTTATCCAGCCTCTTACTATTTCATCCCCCCTTGGTCCAAAACATTTTTCTCCTCGTCACGTCATTCAGACCGGTTCTGGGGCCCACCCAGCTTCATCCAATGGTTACTGAGGGCTTTTCCCCCGGGGTAAACGGACCTGGGCTTGAAACTGATCACTCCAACTTAGTGCTAAGGTCAAGAATACGTGAATTTACACATCCACTCCCCATACGTCTATATGGCGTAGGGCTTAATTAATTAAGCACTGGGACAACTTTACCAGCTTGCGTCCAGATATACTCCAGAGAGTCGGAGAGCATATTTATCTTTCTGATCTACTCAAGCTCCAGGTAAACCAAGACGAAGGGTCAGTTTTTTATGAGAGATAAGCGGCCTCATAAGTATGCTCACATATTGTTTAATTACGTTCATTTTTCTTTCTTTTTCCCCCCCCTTGGCACTGCAGCCCCAGTTGGCCTAGGCCTACCTCCATGAACTTCTCCCTTCACTTCGGTTTTTCTAAATCTTATACATTCGGTAGGACCCCTTGGGCGGGTGATCAGCTTGTCGCAAGGCCTCTACCTATACACAAATACAGAAAAACGCACACACACAAACTAAACATCCATGCCCTGAGTGGGATTCGAACCCACGATCCCGGTTTCCAAGCGAGCGAAGACAGTGCATGCCTTAGACCGCTCGGCTACCATGACCGGCTCTCGATTACGTTTCATTACATGTCTGTAAATTTCGTTTTGAACAGCACATCACTAGCATGTTGCTGCTCATTGCGTACACACACTTCCAACCCTGCTCACCGGTTTCCCAGTGTTCACCTCGCCATGTTTTCTAGTATCGCTGAAATTTGCTTCGGAATTGGGATCTTGACGTCATCGATGGTCTGTGGTCTAGTAGTGTACACTTTCGCGTTGAGGTGCCCTCAAAGGAAATAGTCACAGGCAGAGAGATCAGGAGAACGTGCAGGCCATGGGAGCTGTCCGCGCAGTGAAATAACGCGCTCCGGAAACATTTCCCTAACGATGCTCTCGCTGTATGTGTAGTTGCACTGTCTTCCTGGAGCCATATGGTCGTGAGCTCAGTTCGGATGTGAGAAAGTTCCCTAACGTTTCAACTTAACGAGCAGATGTGACTAACTGCACGCTTATCATCGTTTTCAAAGGACTAAGGGCCTATGGCTCCGAAGTTTGCCACTCCGTTTCAATCACACGTGCAATGTGAAGAGACCGTTGATGTGGCTTCTGTGGGTTTTTCTCTGCCCAATAGCGAAAATTCTTTTTGCTGGCATAGTGGAAGTGAGATTCATCTGTCGCAAGGATAATGACACGCTCAGCTTCCGTGCTACGGGTTACTGTGTCACGATCACGTAACTGTTGCACAGCAAACATTTTGTACGGATGGAAATTTAGATCCTTGTGTAAAATTCTTCTAGCGCTGCGATCGGATATTCCTAGAGCACGAGAACATCGCCGGCTGAGACTCCGTATGAATGATTTGCCTCTCACACTCAGTGTGTTGTCGGGATCCTACTGTGCGCACACTGCCTGGTGGTTTCTTTTGTAACGCTGAAGCACTCGCTCTGAAGTTTTGCACCAATGACTGGGTATTGAGGCAAGGAATTTTCTTTGACGAACCATACTGAAATGACTGCGAAATATTAGCTGCGTTTTAACAAGTCACCACGTAAAAACCGCCTCAACAATAAAAGCACCGCGTTGCACGCTCCACTGCTTCATGGCTACTGCAACGGCATCAGTTAAGCTAGCAGATGACATGGTTGGCCGCGCCATAGCTCAAACGGTTAGTCGCTGGCTTCCCACCGCGGCGGCCCAGGTTCGATCCCGTGTCTGGTCAAGTGGGATTTGTGATGGACAAAGTGGCACTGGGGCGGGTTTTCTCCGAGTACTTCAGTTTCCTCTGCCAATCTTCATTCCACCAATTGCTCCACAATCACCCTCAGCTATCATCTGGGGCTGGTACAATAGGCCAGAAGTGGCTGCAATACAAGGGACTTAGTCCCACCCCATTAGCAGTTAAAATCTCTCGTACAGCCCAACCATTAACTGCATCTCATTAATGGTAAAAGGTGCCATTAGCGACGTACCCAACTGGACTGGCAGGATCTGCATTCAACTGAACGGACCACACAAGCACTTTACAGCAAGTCACAGGCTGAATTACTCATCAGACGCTACTACAGAAATCTCATTCTGTACTGTAATGTCAGAACCTCAGGCCCTGAGGGTATCTCTGATAAAAATATAATGAATTTAACAAAATTCAGGCGCATGCAACCTCAGTGCTCACAAGCCTTTAACCCCCCC